TTTTCATTTATGGCCTAATCCAACATGTAATGCTTAAACTCATGAAACAAGGCCTTAGCACAATGAACATGCATTAAATTATTGAGTGTTGGATGGTTTAAGGGCCTGTAATCAAGTGGCATGCTGGTTTGAGAAATTTACACAAGTTATGAACATGGAAATTGGCCAATTCAAAAGTGAGTTTTTTCCATATTGCAAAATTCGATTCTCTCAAGTTATGAGGTTGTTTGATGAGTTCTTGGACATTTTGGAAAGCTTGGAATGTGTACTACAATCCATATTTGAAGTTAAAATTGAAATTCCAAGTGGAAGTGTATGGAAAATGGTCTTGAAGTTAGATAGAAAACCTTGCCAAAATAGGTCAAATTTTCACTAAGTTAAGAATGGTTTAGTACCCTTATTCCAAAAATTGTAACTTGAGATACAAGTTTCTTTTTGGAAAACTTTGTGAATCAAAGTTGTAGATTATGCACCAAGCTACAAATTTCATGTTTTGACTTTTGCTTGAATCCAAATGAATCTTGGTGAGAAAGTGAGGCAAAGTTGGGAAAAATTTAGGGTTTTTCATAACTTAGAAAAATTCTAAGTTATGAAAAATTCTCATTTCAAACCCTAATTTGCATTTTTTGATTTCTTGATGAAAAAGTTTCATGATTTGGCATGCTTTGATGAAAAATGAATCTTGACTCTTGATTTTGACCAAAAAGTCAAAGTTTGACTTTTCAGTATACAGTCAAAATTGATCAATTGACTGGGAAATTCAACTGTCAATCTTGTGTACTTGGGATCTTTTGAACTTGTTGAGCATGTCAAGACAATTCCATGGGGTCCTTGAGTCCATATGTGAGCTTGGTTTGCCATTGGTTAGGTCAAACAGTCAAAAATTGCCTTTGTGCAGTCAAAACCCTAAAAATGACCATTTTGCCCTTTTGGTGATCTGATCAAATTTCTTGTGGAATTGTGATCCAAACTTGATCAAATGGTCCATGTGAGTTCATAATGTTGATGTGGGTCAATTTTCATGAGATTTGACTGTCAATTGGCCACAATTGACTTTTTCCCCAATACAGTTGATTTCTAGGTCAACTGTCCAATTGACTGGGCAAAACTTGGAATCAAGACTTGAAACTTGATATGGATAAACTTGGGAGTCCAATATGAAGCAAGAAAGTCATCTTAGGCATTTTAGGTCAGAACATCTTTGTGCAAACACAAACCCTAATTTGGGTCAACAGTGCAAGGAGAAGTCTTGAGTAGATGAAACCCTAACTGGATCTTGACCTCCAAGGGCTTTGTGATGAGAAATCAATGAGAAATGGGAGGGCAAATTTTGGGGTACAACACATCCCTTAAAAAGTTAGAACCCCACCCTTACCTTAGATTGAAGGTTCCTTAAGCTTAAAAAATGTCTTCTCTCTTGCCCTAACCTCTTTTTCCCAATGCGATCTTTCTTCTCTGTTCTCTCTTTCTACGATCGATGAAACCAAAAACACTTTTATTTTGCTTTTGTTTTGACATATCTAACCCTTGGACCCCTAATATCATTATTCCCATTATACCATTCCTTTCTCATAATTATTAAATAATTATTTAATTATTTTAACTATGATAATTATTATAATATTTTGGTTTAAATAATACTAATAAAAAAATCCTTTCTTTCCACCCTTATGTTACTATAGTTTTTGTCATACACGCCCCTTAATACCTTAACTTCTATAATTTCTAAGGCGACTACCTCCCATCAAAGATATAATAATACCATAACATATTCATCAAATCATGAAAATGCACCACATCACATGATTAGTTTAATAAAAATAATTTAAATAAAATTTGGGTTCTACATCAAGCATCTCAGGCAGCTCCTACACAAGCATCTCAAGCAGCTCCTACACAAGAATTCCAGGTAACTCCTTCTCAAGCATCTCAACATGCTCCTTCACAAGCATCTTAACCAGCTTCTTAAGCATCTCAACATGTGGCATTTACACCATCATTGTTGTGTGTGTGTATATATATATATATATATATATATATATATATATATATATATATATATATATATATATATATATATATATATATATGTATATATATATATATATATATATATATATATATATATATATATATATATATATATATATATATATATATATATATATATATATATATATATATATATAAAGATTACATCATTTTGATAACGCAGATTGTATATTGCTTGATATCTGAAACATTTTCATGTCTTTTTCGTTTCAAATATGTAAGTATGTTTTTCGGCGCCACCCTGATTAAAGGCATGTCCGAAGCAATTTCCTTCTCCTCTAGTTAAATGCAACATACTATGGGATGACCATTTATCTCGATTTACAAGACATGATTATGTATTACCAAAAACCACATTAAATCTCCATGTATCATTCACCTTATAATATCTGCGCAATTTAAACAGACACTCATATTTTATCGATCCAGTGTCATCACGTTTCAAATTCTAAATAAGTAGAATGTATGTGCCACTTATCTCGCATCTCATAGTTACAAATGATTGTCTTCTATTAGAACCATTATCAGACCTTCTGGTTATAATGCCAAATCTCAATTTCTTGGCCTTCATGCGAACTTATTCAAGCATATGTTCACGAGCAGTAAATAACTGTTCATTTTTAAATTGATGACCAACATATATCTCGACAACAACCGGTCTAGCACCTGGTTTAACATCATCCTTCATCTCACCCGATTTAACATCATTATCACTTCATCTGGTGCACCAATATCTAATACGAACCAAAATAGAAAAACAACTTAAAAAAATTCATTGTAATAGAGAAATCCAGAGATGCTCATCTGAAACATGAAAAGTTAAATTCGGAGATACACATCCAGACGTAACATAAATTTTTTCAACTCAAGAACAAGATTAATGCAAACAATAAATGATGAAATGAGTGGATTTTACCTTAAATTGCAGTTTCTTTTGCTCACTTTGATGTGGTAGAATATAAGAATGATGATTTGGAGTCGAAAAGTTGTTTGAGAATGATTTTTTAAGGGTTTTGGGTAATGGAGGTGGTATGGAGTGTGAGAGAGATAATCATGCAGGTTGGTGATATATTCAATTTTCCGCTTGACATTTTTGGAGACGCATCTTCGAAAATATCACTAAATAGTTTAATAAACCAGCTCAATGAAAAAGACATAGAATGAATTCAATGGTGTTTTCAGAGATGCATCTTCAGACCAATTTTTACCAAAAACGGGATGGTTGTTTTATTTACGAAAGATGTAGTGATTTAAGGTGCATCTGAAGATGCATCTTCAGACGCACCTGAGAGTAATGTTGGGTTTTCAGTGGTGTGAGCCACACTCTAAGGGTGTGAAAAGAAATTCCCAAAATTGAAAGCATAGCTCACTTGAGAATAGTTGAAATCCACTGATAAAATTGTGTACAAAAATCAAGCGAATTTATTTTTCCACCCCATATATGTTTTCCCAAACCCTTGACAAAAAGTTTAAAAAAATGTCTCTAGTTTCGGAGATGCATCTCCGAATGCACAATTTTCCCACAAAATAAACATAAATGATTGAACAAAATTTCTATGAGATATATTCGAAGATACATATTAGAAAACAACCTATAATATATGAAACACAGACGTTTAAATAGTTAAAATACACTCATAAATATTTTCAAAGATACATCTCCAAATTAATTTTTGACAAAAATGGAGTGAATGCGTTAAAATAGCTAAAAATGCACTCAGAAATATTTTCGGAGATGCATCTCTGAATTAATTTTTTACAAAAAAGAGATCATCGTGTTTAAATATCTAAAAATACACTCATGAATATTTTCAAAAAAATATATCCGAATAAATTTTTGACAAAAATGCGTCTGGAGATGTATTTCTGAAAAAACTTGAATCATTTCGAATTTTCAAAGATGTGAGTACTCTAAAGGTTGAGAAAAGATATTCTAAAAATCAAAGGCTTTGAGGACTTTTATTATGAAGTGTCACTCCATTGTGTCAAAAGCCTTTGCAAAATTAACCTTGATTGGTATATAACCATGAAAGGACTTGTGCTGAAGCATATTGATGGCTCATGAGTGGGGCAGATACAATCTTTGATTTTCCTATTTTGGATGAAATCTCTTTGATATTTTGAGATGATGTCTGGAAATATTTATGTCAATTTGTTTGCTAAAATTAGGCAGATACAATCTTTGATTTTCCTATTTTGGATTAAACCTCTTGTCTTTTGAGATGATGTTTGGAAGAATTTATGTCAATTTGTCTGCTAAAATATTAAAAATTAGCAATTATCTGCAGCGGATGATTTTGGTAAGAGTACAACAGCGTTGGAGTTAAAATTTTGAAGGATCATGCTCGTTAAGAAAAATTCTAAGACAACATTGCAGACATCATGATCGATGTAGATCAATGGCAATTTTAGAAGTGACCCCCAAAATTCTTTGTATATAGTGCAATACATATATCACCTGTGCACCACCATAGAGCTAGTTTTCTTTGCTTCTCACTGTTTTTTTCTCTCTTCACAGTTTCACTCATAACAAACACAAGCAATAAGTACAAGGAAAAGTTTTCCCTGAATCAGGTACTATTTCACTGACTCTTAAATGTTCACTGTAGTGTGGGTATTTCACCTTCATCCAAATAAATAAGCTTATATATTAAATTCAAAATATACATGCTTGTTTTTCTTGATGAAAACATACATATATTTGAGATGTTTAAGTTCAGAAAAATGTTTCTTACATTAAATACATATAAGACAAATTGAATACTGAATAGTCAATTCATATTTTTCTAACAAAATTGTACTTAAGGGGAAAAAAGAAGACAAGATATTCCCCGTGAATTCCAAATTTACTTACAACGTGTTTTATAAATCCACTATAAGATTCTGCCAGTTGTTGTTACTTCAGTGTCATCAGCTGGAACCAGCGTAACATAGATACAACAAATTGTTCAATCAATGCCCAAACTGGAAAAAGTTTCAATTCCACCCTGACAAAGATAAAAGATAAAAAATCTGCAAGATAAATCTACTTTTGATTCTACACCATCCTATCGAAACAAAAAAAGCAAAAATTATTGCTCAACAGAACTTTTTTTAGTAAAAACATAAGAGGCTAACATACCCCTCGATAAGTAGAACTCAAATTCAACCACGAGACATGTCTTTATTAATAATACATTCTAGCAATAAACTGGAGAGCCCGACTCCAAGATACATGCTCAACTTTTTCCAAAATTAATTAATTTGAATAGATAATGTATATATATGCAGGCATGCAAATATGGAGAGTGGTCAGTCTCCTTTTATCTATTGGTAGAATGTAGAAATAACAAACTAAACCTATTTTACAGAAATATGCTACTCACTGAGCAGTCATCATGAACACGCCATATGGTCTCGCCCAGAAGGTTTGCCACTGATAAGACAGTTAATTGGGGGAAATAGTTTTTCTCGGAAACTGGAATTGTATTAGTTATGATAACTTCTTGAAATAAACCGCTTGACAATCTCTCAATAGCAGGAGGACTGCAAAAGCAAGAACGATGAATAAGTCATGAGTAAAACACCTTGAATCAAAAACCACCAACTATGTAGTATACTATTAACCATCATTGCAACATATCTAATACATATCTCGATGTCAAGGGAGAACAAGAAAACAAATGCTTCAAATATCTTTTTTTGTTATGGTACAAGCTTGGGGATGGTGGCAGGATGTAAGTGTCAGCAGATCTATCAAAAGACTCCAATCATCATCAGAGCATAGTACTGTAAACATCTTCCCTGCTTACTAACACTGAATAACTTATTATGACGCTGAAAACAGCTTCATATCGGTAAACTATATATATATATATATATATATATATATATATATATATATATATATATATATATATATATATATATATATATATATATATATATATATATATATATATATATATATATATAAAGAGAAACTACCAAAAGTTGGCCACCATATAGATACAGATATTACTACTCCTTAGAGATCATTTATCAAAAAGCATAATTAACAGTTAAAAAACAATAAAAAAAGATCGAGGGTCATTTCTTCCACTAATCCCGTGCATTTATTGAATAATAAAGTTTATTAGGAAAAGAGGGGAGTGCACTAAATTAGGATAAGAATCCACAAAAAATAAGCAACAAACTGAACCAAGCACTATCCCTCAAGGTCATGTCAGCTACAAGCACCAAAGGGTTCTATCAAGAAATAAATTTTCAATATTATATTATGGAATGTCTAGAAACAAAAGAGAAAGACACATAAACTAAGCAAAGCTCTTTATTCTCTCCAGTTTACATATCTGTTAACAAGTACTCCTCTAGATAAACCACATAGTAGGCCCCAAAAAGAAACCAGAAATACTGTTTTATCCAATAAAGATGCAATGTTAAAGAACTGTCTTCGAAATTTATGCATTCTCTCCAACAATTGGCACCACATAACTGCATTAATTGTACAATGTCCTGGCGAGGTTCCCTGATTACTCCTCCCAAAAACTCTCAACTGACATAATAGTTGTTGTTATTAATTCACAGGGCAGATAATAACTATTAGAATTTGGGTTGTTGTTAACTCAACCTTAAAAAACCGGATCTTATGGTGATGAATGCCTCTCTTTATACGCTTATGTCAGTGTTGGCTCATAAATTCGACACCTTTGTTTTGATTGATGTCAGCCATTAAAGCTGAAGGATGTCTTCGACTGGTTAAGTCTGTCGAAATGCCCGTCGAAAGATGGCAAAGTACTTAGAAGATTTCTTCCAAGAAAGAAGGCTGGTTGCCTTCGACGTCGAAGGAGTTTCTCGTCGAAGATGTCTCTTGACGAAAGTGTTCGACGGTTCAGGGTGGAGCAGTTTGAAATTCAAAGCTTTTGGAGGGAAAACGGTTTCCAGCAGTTACTACGTGCAAACGTGCAAGGATCTGGGGCGTCGAGCATGGAGAACGTGCCAAGTGGATTGATCTCGAAGCAGTGTAACTGCCCGACGGTTACTTGGGATGTTTTAGTATAAATAGGAGTAGACATGTAGTTTCTCGCGGGTGTTCACAATTCCATACAAAGTCACTCATATAGATTCGAGTACCCAGCGTGTGAGAAAGAATTGTTGAGAAATGTATGTGTGAAACACCAATTTTATTTATCAAAGTCATTTACTTTTCCAGAAATTTACTCGCTTTCCTCTTTACATTCCTGTCGAAACCTTTTACTTTAAGCCTTGTTTATTTTACCAAGTCTTTCCTTCATGCAATTTACTTGAAACCTTTTTATTTAAAGCCTTATCCAATTTAATCAAACTTCAAAATCAACCTATGTCCTAGGATCAATCTGATCGATCCTGCGAGTAACCAAATAAGTAACCATTTGGAGGATCAGCGGTTGTTTACCAAAACCCAAGGTAAACAAATTGGCACACCTGGTGGGACTGTGTGTTGATTGTTGAAAATAATCTCATCTTTTCGAGTTGTATGTTATTGAGGAGTGGTAGAATATACACTAACGATAACAATACTGCCAGAAGAAGGGAAGAGATGGCGAATCCGCCAAACAATAACGAAATCCCACAAACGAGTGTGGGAGCAACGGTTAGTATGACCGTAAGTGAAGCGACAAATGTTGGTTCGACACCAGCAGTATCGGTCACAACCACGGGGCCAATACCTTCGTTAACAGGCCCCAGGATACCTTTGGGAACTCCCCCACCAAGGGGAAATTTAGGCACGAGGCCTTTGGTTCCCCCAGGATTCATTCCATTCTATGGTATGCCAACTTCTGAAGTGGCAAGCCTGACGAATGCTGCGTCCACTGTTTCAGACCCTTTAGTGAGTGCCTCTTCGCCACTCCAAGGCTCTGGAGTAGGCATGGCGAATAGAAATAGGACCCAACTCTTAGGAGGAACGTCCCAAGTAGCCCATGGCCTCACAAATGCCTCGACAGCAGTCTTGAGGCAACAGATGGACGAAAGCAACCATGATATGGTGCAAATGTTGGCACAAACTTTGAGTACGGTGCTAAACCCTCTAATACAAAACACTACTCAATCGAATCAGCAAGTGACAGCGCAAATGACGCGTTTGGCTGACTTCTTTGGAGTACCCCAACCCATTCGACAGCCCCAAAGGGCGCAAATAAGGGGAAATCAGGGGATATTTTTAGAGGAAGAAACCACCATTAACCAGGCTCAACAGCCTGTCGAAGAAAACTTTAGGGCACGATTGGAACAACCTGTCGAAGAACCTAGGGTAATAGCCCCAGAGGTAAGGTTAGTTAATAGGAACCAAAATGCTGACGAAGTGGTTCAGCATATCCAATACCAAAACATGGGTTTGGAAAACAATCTGGCAACCATGATCGAAAGGATCATGACTCAGAATGGGATGAACATGGGCTTTCGAAGGCCCAACTTTACATCTCCATTGTCAGAATATGTGTTACAAACGGACTTACCTCCTAGATGCAAAGTCCCCAAATTTACCAAGTTCTCTGGGGACACGACAGAATCTACTGTCGAGCATGTGGCGAGATACTTGATCGAAGCAGGAGACATTTCGAATAACGAAAACCTAAGGATCAAGTACTTCCCAAGTTCTTTAACAAAGAACGCCTTTACTTGGTTTACAACTCTCCCCCCCAATTCGATCCATCATTGGACCCAGTTGGAAAGATTGTTCCATGAACAGTTCTACATGGGGCAAACCAAGATAAGCCTGAAAGAACTGGCCAGTGTGAAGAGACGTTTCACTGAACCTATAGATGAATATCTGAATAGGTTTAGGTTGCTCAAGGCGAGATGTTTTACACAAGTGCCAGAACATGAGTTGGTCGAAATAGCCGCAGGCGGTTTAGATTATTCCATTAGGAAGAAGCTAGACACCCAATACCTAAGAGACATGGCCCAACTCGCCGATAGAGTTCGACAGGTAGAACGCCTCAAAGCTGAAAAAGCTAAGGCAACGAAAACTCACAAGAGAGAGAGAATAGCGTACGTTGAGATGGATGACGAAGATCTAGAATCCTTCGACGATACTTTAAATATCGAAGAAGGAGAAGTCGATTTAGCAGAACTGAAACAAGGGCCACCATACTCTTGTAAACTGTTAGTCCCCTCAAATGGGAAAAATCCCATTGGTCCAGAAAGGACCAACGATAGGTTCCCAAAAAAGACTTATAGTTTTGACATCACAAAATGTGATGAAATATTCGACTTGCTAGTGAAAGATGGCCAAATGATAGTACCCCCAGGGGTAAAAGTGCCTCCTCTTGATCAAAGAAAGAAGAGAGGTTTTTGCAAATATCATAATTTTTTGGACCATAAAACTTCTCAATGTTTTCTTTTCAGGAATCTTGTGCAAGACGCTATTGAGGAAGGGAGATTAAAGTTTGCAGACAAATCCCCCATGGCTATCGACTCCAATCCACTGAAGGCTGAAGCCCACTATGCTGAACCCTCTGAGGTGAACGTGATAGAGGCAACCAGGATCCAGTCGAAGAAGCCAGGAATTACCATGGTCGAAGTCTCAAAGGACCACATCAACATGCCAATCTTTGGCAGTTTTTCTGGAAATTTATCCAGGAAGACAATTGAAGCTGTCCAGAAAGCGGTCGAAAACCCGAAGTCGGAGACCGCTGAAGCACAAAAAACTGGATCAAAAGCCAGTTCCCACTTGGCCACCGTTCAAGGCCAGACGGAGAATCTGGAGATACAAATGAAGCAGTTAACCCTTGCTAACAAAGATACAATGAATATCAACATGGTCGAACTTTCTGACCCAAAAGCATCAGAAGAGGCCATGAGGCAAGAACAGGCTAATAAGACTGCTTTCCCTCGGGAAAACGAAAACTTGGCAGATTTTTTACAAAGATGCCAGAAAAAGAAATCAGAGGTGATGCTGTGTCCAAGATGCAGTTCGATATTTGATAAAAAAGCTGCTGAGCACATTCAGGGCGTAAGAGCAGCGAATAAAAGAAGGGAGAATGCTGACCTTCGACATGATCCCAGAAGGGGTTCTAACCAAGAAAAGAGGCCATTGACTTTTAGGCCTCCAACCAATGTGCCAGTAGACACTTGGTACAAAACCTCTGGCCGGAAAAGGCCAAGTGAGGAGAAATGGCATTCTTTCGATGTGCCAAGAGGTTCCTCTTTGACTCAAAAGAAAGAGCCTCAAGTCGCTGCACCTAAGGTTGCACAAGTGTCCAGCAACTACAAGGGTAAAAATCCTATGTCTCGATCTCAATGGAGGAGATATCAAAGGAGACGAAAAGCTGAAAGGGAGGCTGCCAACGAACCTAAGGCAGAAACTAGTTCGAATGTTCCTCAAAGGAAACAAAGGAAGCCTCTAGAGAGAGAGCCAGTTACCAACAGGCTAGTTTGGCCTAACCAAAGTGAAGTCGAAGACGAAGATGATGCTGAGTCTGACGATACTTTGGACATAATGGTGAATATCGTTTCAGTACTGCCCAGAGAATTCAATCGACAGGTAGAAGTCGAAGCAAGTGACT